CTCAGGGCTCAGGAATGCGCACGGCCCGCCCGCCCCGGCCGAGTCACCTCCTCCGGGAAGGCGACTGAGCTCTGCTCTCCCCGGTGTTGGGCTGCGGGTGCACCTGTGGCCGGGGGTCGTGAGCGCCGCAGCTATGGAGACAGGACCTGGTGGCCCAGCTAGACGGAGCCTGAAGGTCAACCACAGACCTCGGCTTCTCAGCCTCTCCCTCACTGCAGAGTGGCTGCTGACCCTATCCTGCCTAGACTTGAGCTCGAGAAGGAGGGGGGCGGCGGGACCAGTGTCCCTGGATGTCCTATAAACCAACCAGGAACCGCCCCCAAAGCACACACTGACAATCACTTACCTACACTCCCCCAGTCCCACGTGAGCGCTCACACTGACTCTGCACACGTTCACACTCACACACCGCGCTCATGTATTCATACACTTCATTCATTCACACACACCTGTTACACACTCACATACACACACGTACTCCTACACACAATATACACTGTCATGCCCATTCTGACATTTACACGTGTGCACATGACACCTTAGACAATTCCATTCATGTGTTTGCACACCCATGCACACCCACACTCACTGCAGGCAGGAGCAGAGCAGCACCCCTTCCCCAGGCCGCGGTGCTCCCCACCCGGAAAACCTGCTCTCCCAACAGGCTCTCCCGGCCGGCCTGCGCCTGCACCGAAAACCCTCGGAGCGGAGGCAGCGGCACAGTGTCTGGCCTCCACTCTGTGCTCTTCCCTTTCAGAGCTCACCAACCGCCCTGGGCTCATCCCTACACTCCCTGAGTTGGCCACAAATTGCCCGGCGGCTCCCAGGCTAAGTCTGCTGGTGGGAATTTCCCAGCATTCCTCTCTCCTGACATTGAAGGAGCCTGGGCCTCCTAGTCACCCAAAGACCAGGGAATGGGGGAGGGGTGCCAATGGCAGGGTGTAAGCAGGAGCTGTGAGTGGTGGAGGGGTGCAGACTCCCCTGGATGGTTGGTACAATGGTCTCCCTCTTTTCCTCAGAGAAAACAAAACTGGGGCCACCAGATGTCAGAATACCTTGGGCACATCAGGCCCAGCCCCTCAAGCCTCAGAGGCCCCACAGATGTGTCCTCGGGCCCCTTGCTGGTCTGGGACCAGGGGGCACGCTCCCTCTCTGTGCCCGACGTCTGCCTGCACACATCAAGCTGGGCCGTGGCTACACAGAAAATAAAGTTGACGATGGGAGGTAGCAGCCGACTTACAGGTTGGCCCCGCAGCCTGGGCAAGGGACAGAACCCTCTGATTGTACCCTCGCCCATACCATGGGACAGAGCGGTGGCTGCACCTTCCGGGTCCTCTATAAACACGGGCATATCAGCATGATTCTCAGCTACAGGGCCACAGCGAGAGCGCCGGAGGGGCTAGAGGGGACGCCTTCACAAGTGGAGGGAGGCGACTACGGGTGCATTGGGGACACAAGGCAAGAAGGAGGCTGCCCAGTGCTGATGCCCGTGGCTCCTGCGGCCACACACGTCAGCCCTCCCTTGCCAGGCTCTCAGCCAGACAGGACGGTCTCTCCGTGCCCAGCATTCTTGACCCCTGCCAGGGATAAACAGGCCCTGCCCACCAGACTGGGCTGGCAGAGTATGCGGCAGTGCCCTCCTGGAGTCCAGGGCCTGGGCTCAGCTCCAAAGCATGTCATGGCTGGGCACCCAGTCCTGGCAGGTCCCTTCCCGCAGTGGATGCTGCAGGGTGCCACCCAGGCCCGCTTCATGACCCAGACATTCACCCACAGCTGCCGGGAGCACCAGCTCTCGCTGGCTCACAGCGGAGAACCCCCTGAGGAGTACCCTCTACGCTCCCTCCCCAGAGAAGGTGACAGGTAAATGGCCTCCCCACATTCGGGTGACCTCCGACGAGCCCCTCCCTCCCCAAGCTCCAGTGGATCACAGCAGCCTCTGTTGCAAACCCTTGCTCCTCACAGGTGTTGCTCCCAAGGCAGGCCCCAGTATATTCTGGAAGGCAAACCCAGGAATCCCAGGTTCCCTGCCCACCCCGGCCTCCTGAGCAGGGACCCTGGCATCCGGATAGTGTGAGCAGAGAAGGAGCAACACACGTGTGCTCAGGCCTGGACCTAGTCCGCACGGACACACGTATGCACATACATGTGCTCCGCCTCACTCCGCCCCCCTGCCTATGCCCTGGTGGAGAAGCCCCCGCGTGGAAACCCTGCTCCCAGGGCTTCCAGTCCCTTTCCACCCAGCCCTGGAGAAATGGAAATCAGCTGCAACTGCCTAGCGTGTGGGTGGGTGACTAGGATGGTTGAGTGTCTGCGCCCCCCACCCCCGCCCCCATGGATGTGCACTTGACTCTGGGACCTGAGGGGTTGGGAGCCCTGACCAGGAGGAGGCGTCCCTGCCAGCCACTCTGGAATCCCCAGTTCAGCAGGCCAGTCCCTGGGCTGGGAGGTGGGGGGCTGCGGGGGCCTGGAGGATCGTGGGACCAACCCCTGGCTATTTGGGGAGGTGGCCGAAATGGGCCAGGCCAGCCAGGGGCCTGAAGTCAGTAGCTATTTCTGAGGCAGCTGCCCCTCCCTGTGTCTCAGGGGATGGCGAGGGGTCCAGTGAGTACCTGGGCCCAGGGCCCAGCTGCACTGGCAGCACAGCCCAGGAAGGGAGGCTGCCGCCCACACACACCTCCTTCAGCTGCCCTCCCTGCCCAATGGGCTCTGACACCCCCACCCTCCGAGGGGACAGCGGCCCTGCATCCCTACCTTAGAGAGGACACAGCGGTGCTGGGGCTGGCGCTCTGGCCTCTGTGCTGATAGAGCGGCTTAACCTTTCTCTCAAGGCTCTGGTGGCTGGTAGGCCCTCCACAGGCCATGAGCTGGCCCAGCAGGGCACAGAGCGGCTCACCCCCGCACTGGTCCCTTTGAGAATATTGAGGATGTCCCCACCTCCAACTTCCACTGACATCCTCCCACATGCCTCTCCCAGCCCCGCGCAGGGCACGCTGGGGACAGAGCAGGCCCCAGGTCCCTCCTCTGCCTAGCACCGCCTTCTCTCCCTCCCAGCCCGCCTGTCCTGCAGGCCACAGCGGGAATGCTTAACCCACCACTTCCAGCCTGCGGTGGGGCCTCAGACCACAAACCAGGAAGCGGGGGGCGGGAGGAGGAGCCCCCCTTGCAGAGGTTGCGCAAGCCCCTGCCAAAACATCTGGAGAAGTGGGTTGCTGGCACTGGCCCTGCCTCTTCCTCCTCCTGGGAGCCAGGGCTGCTCTCTAAGCCTCTCTTTCCTCGTCCTCAAGTAGGGATCAAACACCCCTGGGAATGTGCGGACTCCCAGGGTTTCTGCAACGACCATGCACCATTTGTGAAATAAGAATAAAAATGAATGCCCTCGCCAGGGGGATGAAGCCCAACTGAGGTCTTAGATTCCCTCCCAAAGTGAGGAAGAGGGAGCGGGGAAGGGGGGGAGGGAGGGAAGGAGGGAGGAAGGGGTCTGGGCACACAAGGCTGGAAGGGGGCGTCATTGTTTAGACAGAATGGCGGCGGGGATGGAGGAGGAAGAACGGGGTGGGCGTCACATCCAGGCGGCCTGGCAAGCGCGGCCTGTGAGACGTTGCCCACCCCCGCCCACCCCCGGAAGCAGCTCTGGTGCCACAAGCCGCTGGGTGGTTTCCAGCGGGCTGGAAGCTGCTGCCCCTCCCTCCCCAGGAAGTCCTGGTTGGGGCCCTGGGACGAGAGAGGGAGGCTGGAGGGCTGGAGTTCAGCCCTGGGCTGGTCAGCGGAGAAGGAACCGTTGGAGACCAGGGTCCTCCCAACTGGACTTGCCCTGAAATCAGGTTCCTCGCTCACCTTAGGGCCCCAGTGACATGAATCATCCAGCACCCCCCACCCCGACCCCCCTCTGACATTATCCTATGCCAGTTGCTCTCCCAGGCCCCATGGGTACGCCCTCCCAGGGCCAGGGCTTTCCCAGGACAGAGGTGGTTGTATGGGGTTGGGACTGTGCCTGCCGCTGCAGAGGGGTCCTGAAGACCCAGGGAAACCCCAGCGTGACGGAGCGGAGGGGAGGCTCTGTGGGGTGTTAGTGCTACCGGTGTGCCTTCTCCCCCCAGGGGAATTCCCTCTGAACAATCCTAAGCGGACAGCGACTCCGGGCCAGGCACGGCTGCTCTCCCCAGATTCCTCTGCCCCTGTCCCTTGGGGCACAAATCCGACTGGAGAGATGAAAGGCTGGGGGGACAGCTGGTGCTGGGAGTGTGAAGAGGCATCGCAGTGGAGGGCAGCCGGGCTCCCCATTCTGCCCCTAGCTGCTGCCAGCACGGTGGGTTCCCGGTCCCCTTGGACCCCCAGGGCCCTAGCCCAGGCCTCGGCCTGGTGGAGGCTGGCCATGCTCCAGGAGGCC